CGCACTCGCATCCACATTGACTAGGAATTATTTCTCTTTGGATTTTGGTCGCGTAGTATTAAACAGTATTCCCAAGGGCGGGCTCGTTTATTTCCCGCAATGACTTGGAGCTAAATGCCACTGCCATTGACAATTGCATTAAACTATTGATTTTAGATTCATCGGGTTTAAATTTAAAGTGTTGGTTTAAAGGCCTTTTGGGTTTGGGGTGTCGGGGGATGTGAGCAACGGTGTAGTATAGTGTGAGAGTGAAAATAGAACAGGAACAGAAATAGGAATGAGAACGAGAATGGTAACGGGATGGGAAGTGGTTGTGAGCCAGGTGGATTTTAAATTGCGGTTTTATTGTGTGTTGGGTGGCGTTTAAAAGTGTTGTCAGTGCGATGAGGACAATCGTTGAAGGAAAATGAAAATGGTTTTGCATTAATAAATTGTGGGCTGAGGCTGAGGTTTTCTGGACTCAGGCCAGAACTCATTTAGAGGCTGAGGGTATCGAGAGGACAGAGGGCTCGACGGGTGACGGTGGAGGGATCGGGGGATAGGGATTGAGGGTTTCGACTCTTCTATTTAGAGAATCCATCACTCAGTGGATGTGGATGCGGATGCAATGCAAGAGGATTGCTTCAACTACCAGGCTAAGTACGTATACACACGTCAAATCCAGAGTACGGTCATTAACTCATGTCTGTCAACTACGATCTCGATTTATATTGAACAATAAGCCGACACTCGGGGCATACTCAATCCGCAGCCTGCATATTTTATTATATTATAAATTATTTTATTATAAATGCTAATCGTGTGCAGTAAGCCAGTCATTAATCTTCCGTTTTTCGGTTGACTGACTTTTTTTGGCATGCCATTTATTTGCAAAGAAAACTTTTATTTTTTAATGTCACTAGAATTGTTCCGATAAAAATAATTTATTTAAATACTTATTTGTTTTTTTTTTTTTTTTTTTTTCTATCAATAAATCCTAGAAAAATAATCTGAGAACTTTTGAAATTTTTTTTTAATAAACAAATTATGGTTAAAGACCCAGTTATTGGCACTGGTCTAGTTTTTTGACATTTTATTCTAATTAAAAAAATTAAATGAACTCAAAAAAACCAATTTTCTTAAAATTTATAATTCAAAAATTATATTTATTATTTATGAGAATTAATTTGTTTTTTTTTTTTAATTAAAATAAAATTGCAAGTGTCAATAATTAGGCCAGTGTCAATAATTGGGTCTTTTACCTTACAAATAAAATTTATAAATCAAATAAAGAAACGTTGAAATTAATTATAATATAATAATTATATAATTACTTAATAATATAATAATAATTATATAATTATATAATAATACAATAATTAATTATATTAATTATATAAGAATTTAGACCTGAATAGAGCAAATAGAGCAAAAATATAAAAAAAAAAAAAAGAAATTAAAAAAAAAAAATCCAATGAATTTTTTAGTAGTCATTTATTTTGGATTAGTCGAATTTATAGCTGATCAGTAGCTCTTTGTATTGGTAAAAATCTTGTTTGGATAAAAATAAAAAATAACAGAATAAAAAATTTCCCAATATTTTATAACAGCTCTAACACTAGGATTATAGATTTAAATATTTAATCAATCGGGTTGAATCCATCTGGAGCTTTTTAAATTGCATCGAATTCATCAAAGTAGAAATGTTATTGCCGATTAAAGCTTGGGAATGAATTTTTTATAAAGTTAAATTATAAATATTTATAGAAACGTTCGACATATAAATTCAGTATTCCAAAAGAATGGAATTATATAAATTAATTAATAGCTTTGAGAGTTAACACGTGAGTAACAGTGGTCTTGCTGTATCTGTTTAAACGTATGTATAATTAATTCAGGTCGTGGATAATATATACGACACGCGGTGGTCAAGAAAAGGGAATATTCTTGTGGTTTCAGTTTATCTCGGTAGCAACCAGATGTACAAGATTCTAGATTATATATTACATTATATGTTTTATGTTATATTGTACTTTGTATATTGTATACATAACAGCGCAAGTTTAATTAATTTAAAGTCTGTATGGGATTTTGATCAAGAGTTACGAATTGTAAAATCAACGAGGCGGAACGGTGAATGAAATATTGCGGCAGGTTAGTTTAATGGAAATGAGCTAATGGATTATTATTTTGGAAAATCTTGGCAAGCAAGTGTTCTTTTTTTAATTTTAATTCAATGCAATTTAATATCATTCCGGGTTCTGGATTTATCTATGTGTTTGTTGGAGTAAAGTGCGTCCATTATTGTTATGTTAAATAGAGATTTCGGATGTGTAATATGCAAACAGATTAATTCATTTATCTGACAGATTAAATTAAATGTATACAATTGTTCATGAAATCTGTACAAGTTAAACTTTCAGAGTTGTTTGCTGGGAGATTATCTACTGCTCTGAGGATCGAAAGGTCGGAAACTTTTAGATGCGGGAACAGAAATGTCTGATGAGAAATTAACGCGAGTGATCAAGTAGAAACAGTTGAGGAAATAATTAATTGATTTTTTTGGTTTTAGATTTCATTTCCTCCAGGTTGTTCAAGTTAATTGGAGTCAAAATGCCGCGATAATACGAGTAATTGGATTTTTGGTCCCTCTTACGCCTAATGATATAATGAGCTGTAATTATGGAGCCTACCTAAAATATCAAGATGCTTGATTAGAAATTTTCCCTTACTTTTTGTTAATCAATAGAAAATTATTGCATTAAAAAAATTTTAATTTTTTTTGTAATATTAATTTTTAAAATTTTTTTCTGATAAATAAATTATTCGAATTGTTAAAAAGAAAAATTTTTAAAATTGACAAGAAAAAAAATTTTAATTTTATCAATGTAATTTCTTTTTTATTGTTCTTTATAAAAATAATTTATTTATAAAAAAAATGTAAAAATCCTAAACAATTTTTTAACTTTACTAAAATTCTTGTTGTAATCTAATTTTTGTAAATTATTACCGAAATTAAAAATAAATAAACCTGTCAAGTTTTGTTGATAAATATTCCCGCTTCGACGAAAGCGCCATCTTTCGAAAATTCTCAAATTTGTAAAAATATTTTCAATAAAATAATTATTAATAAAAAATACCTTTTAGCGACGAATATTTGCAATAAAAAATAATTATCAATAATTACTAATTTTAATTATTAAAATGACCAGAAAAAAAATTTTTATTAATTAAAAAAATTTTTAAACAAACTTACTTTTCCCGCCTTTCTCTTCCCACCTAAAAATAAATCTACTCATTAAAAACTGAATAATTCACAAAGATATTAATTATAAATCTCTTACCTGTCAAAATAATTATTTCAATAAAATTTATACATTTATATTTATAAATACACATTTATGTATGTACAATACTGACAGCCGACACCGTTGAAACGCACACAAACAACCGAAGACACGGAAACTTTATTAATTCGAACATCCGACACTCACAATTATATTCACGCGTAATTTTATATTATATCTAAAAACGCTAATTACTTATATTTATTAAACTATTGAAGACTACTGTCGTGTTAAAACAGTAAAAAGAATTTAATAATAAACATTGACGTGATAAAAACCGACAAACAGCGAATTAAGCAGGACTCTAGTTGACTGACTGCTGGCTCTAGAAACTTCTGTCTTGTGCGCAGCAGTTCGCGCAGAAATCCCACTGCGCATATTTGGCGACGTCACTGCCTGTTACCGAGAGCTCTCTCACCGCGACCGAGTACTGCGTACATTTTGCCGCCATAAGCACTCAGAATGACAGCGCAGATTTTAAAGTTTAGTTAAATGCAATTTAATTTTAGTTTAAATACAATAAATTAATTAAAAATGCTTACTAGTATTATTAATAATTAAGATTTATATTTAAATAAATTTCTCAGCTCTCAATTGAGATTCAGTAATAATTATTTATACACTTTAATTCTGATAAATTGAGATATTTTTCAATTGTCGTGGTCATGAGTTATGACAAGTGCTTGAATTTTGCGTTATTTTATAGTCAGTACTTTCAATTATTGTCAATATTTTTATTTTATAACTCATTTAATTTTTATTTTACATTTAAATATTATGCGCTGCCATTTTGAGTACATTTTTTTTTAATTTAATATTATTGTGTTTATTAAGTCTTTATATTTTAATTAGAGTTTTTTGTTCGAGTGTAAAGTAGTGATAATAATAAAATTAGCCGACAATTTTTATTTTTTGATTTTGTTTAGTTTTATTAAATTAAAACTGAAAAAAATTTTTTTTAATTGCACTTACAGTTTTTCAAATTTTGAAAAAAATTTTTTTGTAATGACTTTTAATAAAAAAAATTTTTAAATGTCGGCTAATTTTATTATCATAAAGTAGTGAGTGTTTGTTTTTAGTAATTATCAATCATTATTTAAATTTTAATCATTAGAGTGAGTATAAATATTTTTATTAAACCATTTTTTTAATCAAAGTACTTAAATAATATTTCATTTATTTTACAGATAAAAAATTCGTGGAAATCATCATGCAGGCCAGAAAAAGTAAGTTTTTATTTTTATTAATATTAAATAAATTATCTATCAATATTTAAAATTATTTTTTTTATAAATTCAACATTGTTTTAAATTTGAGTTGAAAAAAAAAATTTTTTTTCCTTATAATAATATAATAAAAATAATAATATTGAAATTACAAGACATTTAATAGTTTTGTAGAATTTTAATTTAATGACAAATTATTATAAAAAAAATTCTATATGTAGATATAAAAGAAAAATTATAAGTGTAAATTTTTTAATCAGTTTATTTTTTATAATCCAAAAAATTTTTAAATGTCTGTTGATTTTAATATTATTAAAAATAATGGTTTTTAAAGAAGCAACTTTAAAAAAAATTTTTTTCTTAACTTTGAATCACAGAATTTTAATAAAATTTCGGAGAAATGAAAACTTAGTCTTGAAAATTTGACAAATCAACAAAAATTTTCAATTTAATTAATAAAATTAAATAATGATACCAAAGAAATTAAAAATATAAAGCTCAAGCTAAAAACTTGATGACTCGCCGAGCCAGGCATCGGTTTCTCCGTTTCCGATTCTACTTTCTTTTCACGATTATCGGTGGCTCTAACCAAGATACTAAATCCCGAGTCTTTAATAGGAGTCTCACCGGAAAATTTTAACTGTACGTTTCCTCCAGTCGCGTTTGTCTTAGAAGACATATGAGTTTTGCAGTATCGTCCAATAAGAGAAGAGTCAAAATCAAAACCACCGAGTATTTCGAGAAAATCATTCTGACAGTCTGAGGACTTTTTCGTGTTAAAGAAGTAGTTAATTATCCGAAGTGTTTTATTCTTCAGATAGCTGATGTTCCAAGTGCATTGGGAGTTTGGCGGATAGTTGTCCGGGAAGTTAGGTGACTCCACAAAGACGAAGTTGTTATTTATTTCAATGTCGCCGCCACAAGTTTTGTAATAACTTGCCGTGAAGCCGTAATAATCTTTTTTATCGCTTGTTTTTACGTATGTCACCAGCATACGATCACTCTGGGATTTTATAGGCAGTATAATTTCATTCCCGCAAAAACCACCTACGGAAAATTAAATATTTATTATTATTACAAATTTTTTATTGTTTTATTCAAGTAGGTCCTCTATTTTGGGTTATGAATTTTTTTATCCTCCACAAATTCATTAAATGTCATAAATTTTAAACTAATCTTTGAAATTTTCATTTCAAGATTTTTATTACATTAAAATATTTAAATTAATTAATTGGAATATTATAAACTATAATTTTTATTCATTGAACTAGTTCATATAAAAAATTAAAAATTATTCAGACAGTTAAATGAATAAAAATTGTTGTTTTAAATATTCTAATTAATTAGTTTAAATATTTTAATTCAATAAAAATCTCGAAATGAAAATTTTAAAAGTTAGTTTAAAATTAATTAATTAGAAGTAATTTAAACACAATTTTTATTCATTAAACTGTCTGAATAATTTTGAAAAATTAAAAAATATTCACAACCAAAATACTAGTCTATATAAAAAATTTAAAATTAAAATAAAATACCTATCAGAGGACTTCCACTCCAGTATCCATCCCTAACTTCAATGTAGTCCACCGTACAATTCGGAGTCTTGTAAATATTCATTGATTCCAATGTTCAGAACTATTTTATCACTGCGAGCGCCAGATATTCTCCATTCACATATTTCAGTACCATTTTTTTTCAATCACGGAATTATTTGTGTCAACAAGTGTCCCAAAAGTTCCAGTTGGGTCTTGCATTGTTTTTCCACAACCTATAATAAATAATAATTCATAATATAAGTATCAATTTATTTTAAAAAAATGTTAAAATTAACAATATTTGTACTCACTTGGACACTGGTAAACCATATCTGAATTTTCTAAAAATTTCAACAGGCAATTTAATTATTTTTTGAATTTTAAAATTATTTAATAATTAAATTTACCTGTTTTGTTTTTGAGTTCTTCATACTCCGGCTCGTTTTCAAAAACAAAACCCATAGCGTGGCCTACTTCACGGACAACAATTTCATATTCAAACTTTCTACTGATATTTACAGTATTTTTTTCCATTTTGAAATTTTCCCAATCTGCTGTTGTGGCTGTTATTAAATTTTTTAATTATTAAATAATTAGTAATTTAATAAAAAAAAATAACAATATAATAAAAAAAAAGCTAAATATTTACTTGTCTGTTTTAGTAAAAAGCATATAATTTGGATGTTGATCTTGATCATAGTTAATAAATTTAACACAAGTTTTGCTCTCCCAGAATTTAATCGCGCGTGAAACAAACCAGCTAGGTTTCCAAGCAAGAGCTTTCTTGACTATGTAGGGAATAATTCCTTGATTCCAAAGTTGATCACTTTTTACTGCTATTTTCCGGCTTTCTATCGCCGACAAATCAAATTTATCTTTGTTGGACTTTTTCGCCAACACTTGTCCACCTGAATTTATTATCAGGACCACTATGAGAACCCCAAGACTGGTCTTCATGATTCCTCTCATTGTTCCGTTGATTATCCACTCAAAAAGTTCTGACGAACTCAAGCGACTCGTATTTATATACTTACTTGTAGGTCAGTTCCGAATTAATCATTGAAATTGATCTTCGACGGTAGAAAAACAAACAAATCTAAATGTTCCATCTAAAATATTTTTAACAAACAGATAAATATTTATGTCACGATAGTAATTATTAAAATTTTTTATTATTACCCTCTGGGCTTAAGATTAATCTCCAAAAACATAAAAACTTCAAACAGACACTCTGTCCTAATTTTCTATAATTCAACCAACTTATTAAATAACTTTTAATCTCAGAGATTTATTTTCAACCATTATTAATATTAATATTAATATCCATAACAATACAAATAAATAAACAAACTTATTTTACTCTTACAAATACTTCTATTGTTTATAGACTTAAATACTGACATGACAATAAAGTGTATTTATAAATATAAATGAATTGACTAGATAAAACAAAACGGAGGTTTATCATTGAAAACAATATTAATAGTGTCTGTCATTAATAAAAGTATTGTCCTGTTAAATTTATTACTTTATACACTAACATACTATACTAGTTTAATACTCTTGTGAATGATCGTAACCGGGGCGCGATAAATAATAAAGTCTACTATCAGACACCTCAATGATGTTATACATTATTTTTTATAATGTCTCAACGACTGGACGGACAATTGGTGTTTTACAGTTAAGTTCATCTGGCAGTCATCAATTTATCTCCATTATCATTATTTGGTGATTTTAATTGAACATTTATTGTCACAAATAATTTATAATAATAATAATTAACTATAAAGTTCAATTTCGGTTTTTGGTTACCCCATAATGTTTTTTTTTTTTTTTTTTTTTTTTTTAATAATAATTATTTTAATTTATTATTTTATATACACTCCGAATTTTCAACTCTCGACTTGCGACCTGGAAAAAAAATGTATTTTTATTAAAAATTAAAAATAATTTCACACTTAATAATTTATCTAATTTTTTTATCAATATTGAAAATTAATTTTTTTAGTGAAATTTAATGTCATTGCAAAGGTCTTGACTTGAATTTGTGCCTTTTCAAGGTTTCATGTTCATCTCTAGACACATAGTTAAGAAATGACCTTGTATCTTGTGAACTATTGACATTTTTAAAGATATAAGCTCATTCTGATGTTACACTCATCAAGACCTTTCATTTGAGTACCCACATGCATTTTCATATATTTTTCATATATACATATATATATAATATATATAAATATATGAAAAATTGATGTGGGTACTCAAATGAAAGCTCTTGATGAGTGTAACATCAGAATGAGTTTGTATCTTTAAAAATATTAATAATTAAGAAATGACATTGCTATCTTGTCAACTAATGATATTTTTAAAGATATAAGCTCACCTCGACATTACACTCATCGAGACCTTTCATTTGAGTACCTACATCAATTTTTCATATATTTATATATATTATATATATATGTATATATTAAAAATATATGAAAATGCATGTGGGTACTCAAATGAAAGCTCTTGATGAGTGTGACATCGCGATGAGCTTATATCTTTAAAAATGTCAATAATTAAGAAATGACCTTGTATCTTGTAAACTATTGACATTTTTAAAGATATAAGCTCATCCCGATATTACACTCATCAAGACCTTTCATTTGAGTACCCACATCAATTTTTCATATATTTATATATATTATATTTATGTATATATGAAAAATATATGAAAATGCTTGTGGGTACTCAAATGAAAGCTCTTGATGAGTGTAACATCGGGATGATCTTATATCGTTAAAAACGTCAATATTTAAGAAAGTACAGTGCATTTTAACAAAAGTCATTATTTAATAAAACAAAATTTTATTTATTTATAGTTCACAAGTCACGGAAGTCACATAGTGACTGCAAGGTTGCTAGTAACAATAATTAGTTTGTAGCGTAGGTACTAATTACTCACGTGCTGGCTTCCTCGATAACAGTGATAGCTCGGTTATTAATCGGAGCGGGCATCAAAAGCCATTTAGACTTGACGTCATCTTCGTCGAGGATACTCTGACTTGTGGAGGGCCCCGCGGCGCTTTGATTAGCTTTGATACTCTTTGACCGAGCCAGTGACCACTTCCGTCCTTTGCGGTCCATTATTATCGGCATCTCGGCAATAAGATTGTTCTCGAACTCGGAGAGCATCAAATAGTTTTCGACTTTATTGCAGGAGGTTATACAGTCGCCGATATACTCAATGTCGTCGAGGATATTGTCGGGTAAATCCATGTCCGCGATACCCTCTTCGGAAATACAGGTCAACTCGGGCTTGTCGACGCTTATTTTATTTATGCTTTCACCTGCAAAATAATTAAGTTATTTATGGAAGTACAGGAGTCGGTAAATTTGGGTTAATAATTGAGAAGAGGGATAATTACCTAGAGCCGGTGGATGCTCGGAGCTCGTATTGAAGCCTACAGCGCCGGCACCGGGTGTGTTATCGTTTTCGGGTTCTTGATTAAATGATAGCCCACGTTTTTTAGGGCAGTTTGAATTACACGTGTGCTTAATGCCGTTGGTTTTTCCACTTCGATGTTTGGATAGGTTCCGTTTATGTAAGTCGATGAAAAATAATGTAAAGCTACCAACTAAAACGCACGTTGAACTAAAATAATAACCAGCTTTATTGCCAAAACTGATGTTTATGTACCCTGTAATTCATTTTATTAGTTAGGATAAATTCTGTTAGATTCTTTTTGTGAGGGAGCTTGTGAATTTATTATTTCATTTACTGAATTTCTTTTTTATCCAAAATAAAATTGAATTTTATTTTGAGAGCTTGAGAATTTAGTAATTTATTTTTTATCAAAACTAAAATTCAATCTTATCATTTTTTTGTCATTAATTCTAACAAAAAAATAATTAAAACTTTCAACAAAAATTATCTATAAAAAATTGAACATTTTCTTCTATTAATTTAATAAAAATAATAATAAAACCATACCTGAAATAGGAACGCCGATCGCAATAGGAATAGCTTGTGAGCATTGAACGAACCCCCAAGTGCGTACAAAATTTCTCGCTCGTACTCGTTCATACGTGTACATTTTCAGACTATAATGATATCCACCGCAGAAGATTCCATAGATCCAGGTAAATATTACATACCCGTAGTAATTGCCCTGAACAATAGTAAGCGCCAGTATGCAAATTCCACAGATAAACACCGCGGTTTGGACCAAATATTGCCGCGCAATTCGACACTCGACATTCTGCCTTATCACCAAAAGTCCGAAGGTTATGCAGCCTACCGTCCAGCCCAATCCTAAATAGGCTTGCAGTAGAATCACTGTATCTCCTAGTCCTTCCTCTTCTATTTGATGCGCCTTAAATAAAAAAAAAAAAATAAAAATTAGCAATAATTATAATTATTAAACATAACAGATGTAGTTTGTGTCTGCATGAAAAAATTAAGTTGGTTCAAAATAATTTTCTTGACTCAAGAATTTTTCCCTTGAATAAAACTAATTTTTTTTTAATGTAAAATAGCTTACCAGATAAAAAATAGGCGTATTTATCCCAAAAGCAGAAATCCCAGTAGACAACAATAAAATCCTTACAGTTTTGCTTTTCAAAGTACTAAAATCAAGAATGGGCGGTCTATCGTCGACTTTATTTTTTTCTTTTATCTTTCGCTTTTGATTTTTTAAATGCAAAATAGCCCGTCGTTGTGGGTGATAAAGCGAAGCACTGCGATAAAATGTCCCCAAAAAAAATGTCGAAAAGACAGTTACTGTGACCGCCTGGAGCCCTAAGCGCCAGCCAATTTTCCTGAAAGCGTATAACATAAAAAATATCAATTATTTATCATTTTATATTAAAAAGTATGTTATTATTTGTCATTTTTATTATTAAAATATTATACTACCCAATAATACTTTTGATGAACGCCGACATGATAGCAATGCCCAAACCACTTCCTGAGACGATAAAAATCTCAACGAATTCTCGTTTGCGTTTGAAATATTGCGCTACCATCAGGGTACTGCAATCTCGTGTTATACCGACTCCTACGCCTAAATTATATTATATATTTATTTATTTAAGTGTGCAATAAATTATACAACATTACTATGTAGTGTAAGGTAAGGTAAAAGGTATGAAGAATAAATATAAAGTGTAAACGTGTACGATGGTTCCGTTATTTCCTTATTTTTATATTATTACATCTCGGCTTACCTACTACCGCGCCATAGCTGAAAAAAAGCTGATGGAATTGTGTTGCGAATGACGTAAACAAACATCCTAACGCTGTCACCAGACCGCCAAGTACTGCTGTCACGCGAGTGCTTTTTCTCCGGCAGAACCCTATTGTCACAGGAGAAATTAATAAAGCGACACCCGTTGACATTGCTCCCAGCCATCCTGTAATCAAAAAAAAAATTTTTTTTATTATAAAATAATTTTATTTTATTGACATTTTTTTTTGAGTTAAAAAAAAATCTATTTTTTTATTTTTTGATACATATATTATCTTTAACTTTGTAAAAGAGAGGGAAAGTTGACTACTAGAGTATTTTTTTGCCCTAGATTTAAAAGTTAATGCAATGATGAGTCGACAGTATCGCGTAACAGCTACCATTAATTTTATTACGCAAAAGTGTCAATCATTTTAGAATTCTTAGTTGACAGGTAATGTAAAGATACTTGAAAAAAAAATTAAAAATACTAACCGTTGAATTTTTATTTCAATAGAAAATATTTTCCCGAATATTTAAGAAGATAAATTAAATTTTTCCCTAATTTTGTTTAATTATTTTATAATCCTTAAATTATTAACCGCGCGTCACTTTAAAAAATTATTTTTAATTTCTGTAATTATCTAAGAGGTAGTAATAATAATAATTATAATTATTTAAAAAGAAATACAACGCACCTACATCTAAATAATTCTGTGAATAATTTCTAACAGTCTCTATAAGCCATATTCCAGCGGCACCATGAACACCCGTCGCAATTATTCCAATTAACACACTCACGGTAATTATAATCCATCCCCAATTACCTTCTGGATAATAATGTCTTATGACAAACTGAGTTTTACTACGAAGATTTAAAGATTATGAAAAACAGGCAACTATTTATCAAATGCTGTAAAAACCGTAACCTTTTTTTGTTGTACCTCGGTCGTGCATTATCTCTATTATTTTTATCATCACGTTCTTCACTGACTACATGCTCGTAGTCAGCGGAGCCGAGATCACCGGAAATAATCCCACTGTCGTCGGTGTAAGCCGGATGCAGCTCTATTTCGTCCATCTTTCAGGTTCACCAATACATTAATTAAAACTCGATCAGTCAATCAATTATTTTTACTATCAATCAATCAATCGATAATAATTGAAATATAAGAAATAAAAATAACAGATATATGTGCTCTGTATACGGGCTAAATTTGATCTGCGTCAGAAGGTGTCCAAATATGTACTAAACCCAACGATAAAGTAAGTAAACCGCAAGCTCAAGAATGAAGAGGGGAATATAATAAATTGACCAATGAAAACACAGGGCTTACCACGTGGATCTTTCTGCCGTAGGTTTAGGGAATAAAATTATTATATTTTATATTTATTTATATTTTATATACTCCGTTTTTTTATTTTATAATTTCATTTTTCATCAAGGTCGTGGATTAATATTGCTATTATTATAATCAATCATACAAATTTATCATATGATAAATTTTTTTAAAAGCTGGACAGTAAAGTTGATTGAAAAATTCTTCTGAGTATAATTTTTTTACTTGACCAGAATACTTAGGCTCTGTTCTATGAAAAAGGTTCAATATTTTATCTTTATAGAACCACAAAAGTATCTATTTATTTTCGGTAAAAAATGGGTTTATTTGACCACAAATAAAAAAGGATTAGGGATATTATGATTTATTGGAAGCGAGTCAAGAGATCCAGATCTTGTTGAGTTATTTGATAGACCCAGGCATAATAATATTAAAGTATCCCCAATATGTTTATGGGAAATAAAACAAAAAATATACAATATATTAAACCGCGACTCGTGGTTGGCAAATTAATGATGTATAATCCGAGATATTATTTACCGTATATCGTTTAATAGCTTTCATTTAGGTGAGTAATAGAAGACAGAGTAAGGAAAAATGTGATGGTGATGGTGATGTTGATGGAAATAGTGGCAGCAGGTATGACAAAAGGGTGTCGTAATATTTTCGGGACGAAAAGGGTCGTAAAAAATTTCTAGGCCTCGTATCCAAACACTGGATTATCATTAAATTTTTTATTTCCATTTTCTAGTAAATAACATTGTTTTTACGGCTTTTTTATCAGACACTTTTCTTTATAATTTTTCGATCATTTAAACAACAAATTTATTGATAAGATTTTTGTTTTAAAAACTTATCAAATTAATTTAATAAATAAAATAAAATTGCTGGAAGATAAATAGCTTGCCTAGGAATCTCAATTATGAATAGAAGCGAGACTTTAAATAAAGTGATCAAGTTTATCCTCAGGGGGTTAATTTTTGCAAGGATATAAACTACATTTAGATTTTTATATCATATAGTCTGGATATTATTATTAATCCTAGAAGGATGCGGGTGCAACGAAAAAAAAAAAAATATATTCGCGACAAAAGTTTTCTCAGAAACAAAATTTGTATGCAAATAGATTTTTTCTCCGGTGAACTTACACTGTACCGTCTACCACCGAAAGTTCAATGACAAGAGTAAAAAAAAAAAATTGAAATTTTTAATTTATGAAATTAAAAAACAATTAAGATGAATCTCCAGTAACGTCTTATCAAATAAATTTTCATTTCCAGCAAACTGTAATTTAGAATCAACTATTTACTTTTTTATCCATTACAATTTCAATTTAAAATCTCAATTACAATAATGAATGTTATTACTTCCTGATTCAGCTAGTGATTTTTCAGTTTAAAAAACCATTGCAACTATAATGACACTCGTTACAACTTTAGTAACCGGTCTTAAACTATTAAACTTTCAGTAATACTTGGATTAAATTTCACAAGTAATTCACTTTAGAATTTAATATAAATGCCAATTTCTCACTCATTAAAAAACTATATATTAAATTAAATCGAAGAGCGCAAAAAGATCAATGAAGAATTTTATTACATTAAATTCTTATATTTTATTCTTTAAGAATTGCATTACTTTTTTTTAGGATTTATTTCAATAAATTATTCAGCGGTCAGCTCGCGGGAGAGATTAACGAGACATTTATTTAGGCATTATCATTTTATGTACAATAAATAATTCTTCCTGGGCTACAATAATATTCAATGATTAATAATAATATTTATTTTTAAAGAGCTTACCCCGCTAAATAATTGCATTAGGATCAACACATTATTTATCTTGGGTAGCGCCGAAAATTAATAACAACAATTAGCGGAATTTATTATCGGTTATGGGGTAAAATGCTTACCCAAAAATAAATCCGGGCTGCAAATAGATTTATTACTTAATTTGATAGAGAATGTAATGTGATAATTCAATAAAAGAGCAACGGCGTCCGCTGACATAAAAAAATAACTTTGTTACTGTCGTAAATTTAAACATGAGAGTCGTATAAACCCATCAGTCATGAGTTTTATTGCACACCTACATGGTACATGTAACAAACAAATTCGCTTGAGACTCTTTTTCTACTCAAGACACTTTTTCTCTCTCTGAGTGAGTACTGCCTTATATTATACTTCTTTTAATTTTATTTTTATTATTTTTTTTTTCTTTTTATGATGCTCTTGCGACGAACTAATGTTATGTGCACTCGTTGCTTTTTTAATAGTTCCCAAAATATGCTTCTTTATTGCTGCGCTTCTGGTTCGCGTGTCTCGATAGCTCGTTTCAAATACTTAAGAAATAAGTGTATGGTTGTAAAATTATATCAAAGTCAGTTTTTGATATTTTGCTTTTTAAAAGCTCGTTAAATTTTAATTGACCGTCATTTAACTAAGTATTATTTTTTATTTAATGTCTTATATATTTTTTTAATTATTAATAAAATTAATTAAATATTTTTAAACAATTACCAAAATTTATTCCATTGAAATATGATGAAGGCATTCAAAAAATTTTCCGAGTATTAAAAAATTAAAAAAAAAATTTTAACCCCAGTATTTTTAGCCGACGATATTTTCCCATTAATTTACGACACATTTTTATGCTGTACGGATATCATGTATGGCTATGACACATTCTATTCGTCGGAGTTAACAGTGTGTGCTTATGTCACACAGGATATCAATATGCCCGTCAACACACAAGATTATTAACAATAAATTCTGTTGTTTTGCTAAAATAATAACACATTTTTCCTTTCGACTAAAATTCACAATAATTTTATCAATCCCCCAAATTACTTTTTTACAATCTCCAAATTATTAAAAAAATTTCCTGCTAAAAGTTATAGTAGTGTTAAGTAGTTCACGTCTGCAGTTTTATGGAAAATTTCACACTTACATTATAAATAGATTTATGATAAACACATGCAAGTTTTTCCTGCACACTTTATATCATTTAAAATTTTCATTTGCTCTTAATATTTTCATAGCTGAATTCTTGGATAGCAAAACATAAAATTTTGCGCGAATTCCCTGAGATATATATTTTAAAAAAATTAAACTGTAACTTAACTTAAAAAGAAGATGAGGAAAATAAATAAGGTTGATTGCGGATAAATGTATAAAAATTTCTAAACGGTACCGGAGCAATGACTTTTTTATCCCCAGAAAGTTCAATGCTGTATCGGTAGTTTTTTCCCGGCGAGATATAATATAACAGTAGGAGTAGAAGTAGAAGCCGTTCGATCGGACGCCTGAAAAAAAGGAATAGAGGATGATCTGTAGTGCCCGAAAATGAGTATATACAGAGAAGTTACAGTTGAAGCGTTATCTAGGGCGCGTTGCGGACGAAAAACTTTTTCACAAATTTCCGTAAATATTAAACAGCACGAACTAACACCGCCAGACCAGACGTTATTGCCATTATTATTGCGGTACAACATAATAAAACTGGTGCTTATCGATCGTAGAGTTATTAAATTATATTATATAAAATTAAAAATTACACAAAATAAAACCTTAATAAAAAAGCAACAGATTACTCGGCTGCCCAATTTTAAAACACAGTAACTGCAAAATTTTTATACCTGATTTTTTTTAATATTGCTGCATTTCTTACACTGAGAAAAAAAAAATACTTTTATAAAGAAAATTTTCTTAATACAAGAATTTATGTTCTTGAAAAATTTCAAGAATATATATTCATAGCTCAAAATATTGTTAAATTGATTAAAATAATTTTTACTTAATTTAAATAAAGCTATTCTTTTATTTATCTATTAGCCAAAGATAAATATTGATAATGTAAACTTTTTTTTAATAAGAAAAATTAAAAAAAAAATCTTAAAATTATCAGTTACTGTGTTTCGAAATTAAGCAGCCGTACATTGCTGTAAGATGGAGAACAGATTCGCCTTTACTTGTTGAAATAAAATAAAATATAAAAAGGCAAAGTAGCCGAGATAAGAAAGACGTCAGAAAGGGACTTGATAGAGACGTAAACAGAGCGACTGAGACGAGGAAAGGTAGTGTAATGTAATGTAATGTGGCATTACATCTGGAAGACGAGAGCTGAATTATTGTTAAAGTGAGTCGACGACATAAAGCGGTCTTAGAAGATCCGTGGCTTTAGATATAGATAAAGAGACACCAAGCGACCGAGACTGAGAGCAGTGTACGCTTAAAGATTTACGAAGTTAACTCTCCTCATACTATACGATGAAAGTACTTTACTACTGTAACGCGGTATGTACAGCGGCCAGTGAATGGAGTAGGATAACAAACGGAATATAAAGGCTGCGTCATCAATTCTTATATCATTTGATCGCTTGTTATTTTCTTGCCCCGTTTGACAACTTACTGAGTACGAGACTTACTCAAACACATAAAACTAACTTAACTGGGGACTAAAGACACGATACTATTTAAGTGTCTGAGGTCGATGCCGCTCACGTTCCGATCATCTCTATCAACAGAATCAAGTTCAACTTAAAAATAACCTCAAACATTTATTATTGTATTTCACCTTGTTTTTTTTTCATTAGCTCAAGTTATCAATTCATTTCGCGAGCCTCCCAGCTTAATTCAAAATTGTTAATGGTATTCTCATCCACGATTGCAAACAATTATCAAGTTATTGTTGACATTTCGTCCAAGTTTCTAATAACTTAATCATTAATTCAAAATTATTGTTACCAGAAATTTTTAGTCACTATTAAATTGTACAGAATTACGAATTATGCAAAAGAGAATTTTGGATCTTTTTAATCACGATAGAGATGATTTAAAACACTGATAGAAGGATTTGTTTATAGTTAAAAATATTCGTTAATATTTAACAAATCATTTATTAAAGATCATTTTTTAGTCCTTAACAAATATTTCTTAGCATATTTCCTTAACAAATATTTCATATAAATACACCACAGAAAATATTTTTCTTATTTTCTAAATTATGTAGATTAAAATTGTTAGAAGCTCAAATTAGAACCAATAGTTTGCGTCAAAAAATTGGTTAGCCAAAGTCTAAAAATATCCGACCCCGATGACGCAAAGGAGTAAAAAGTTTCTACTAGTAGAAGGACCTGTTTATTATGGCTTATGGCACTCACCTGCGTCAAGATAAGCCTGGACAGCGAAACGGTTGGCCGCGTGGTGAATAAACAAACCAACAGCTCCATGAATCCCGTGAGAAAGTACTTGTACAAAGACGCCAACGAGGATAATAACCCAGCCCCAGCCGCTTTCCGGGTAGTAATGCTGTCTGAGCGTCAATAATTGCCTAAGATCCGTAACAAGTTTTGAATTGTTGAATTTTCCGGGTCCGTTATCTTGCCCGAGTCCGCTATCGTGGCCAAGTCCGCTGTCGTGAACGGATAGTTGGGGCAAGGACCTGCTGCGATAGGTTAGTAACGCCGGTAAATCCTGTCTGTCCTCAAACAGCTCGTAATTATTCTCTTCATTGTAATTGGTATTAGGGGACGATACCGGGGAATTTATCTTGCTGTACTTGTAGCAAATCCTATCTTCTGGAGAATAATAAGGCTGTCTGCAGTTATCGCAGCTCCTCAGTCGCTGCGCCTCGCTCCGGCTTGTATTTATGTTATCCAAGTAAACGTTGTCCCTTTGGCCAACAATGCTGGTCAACTGGTTTCCTCCGCTCGGTCTTGGGTTGTTTGAGCAAGAACTAGTTGAAGAAGAAGAACATCTTGTTGCTTCCCGAAGCGGTTTGACTTTCCAGGAGCTTTTTTTCCCCCGTAAGCTTTTTCGGCTCGATAGAGACTCCCAAGTATCGCCCGCGGGCTCAAACTCGCAGACATCTTTCTCTCCAGTGTTATTTTTATCATTACACTGATACTCTGTCATATAAGTCGACCGTTCTTTATCAAATGACACAATTCCGTTGTTCTGGCGATGGTGCCTGCTGCTGAAGGTAGGAGTCGATTTTCCGAGGCAATCTGTGCTGTCATTTTCCTCAAAATCTCCATCTTCTTCATCTGTTAGCACTTCTATGATCTCATCTAGGTTTTGCGAGTACTGCAAGCTCGTCTTAGGCCTCACAGATGCCTTTATATTGTCACTGGGCCTACAAGTGTCTTTAGCATTAGCTTTAGCTTTATCTTTACCTTTATCCTTGTCTTTACCTTTACCCTTACTTTTATCTTGCTCTTTAGTGCTTTTAATCGGACGCTTGATAATGTTCCAATTTCCGCGACCAAAAAACACCGGCAAGTTATTACTAATGGTCTCCGTGGTTGCTCCGGTTTTAGTGATACGGCCCACGTGCTCGTCGCCGTAAGGTCTTGCGGCAGAATCGATTTGTGCCTCAACTACCAGCACGTTTTTCGGAATTGCTCTTGCTATTTTGTTATTACTGCACCGGCTATTGGAATATTCAACTGAGGTTCGGTTCATTATCATCCACCGAAGGGTTTCTTGACCGATCGCTTTGTTGCATTTCTTCCTTTCAGTCACTTATTTTTCACCGATAATAGGACATAGTTATACACTGTAAAAATTTTTTTTTCTAATTTTTTTGACTTGTAAGTCATAAAAAATTTTTATCTCTTCTTTTATTAACTTATAATGGAAAAAATAATAAATTGAATGTTAGTTGAATTTTAACACTAATATTTAAAATTATTTACACACCAGAACAATTTATTATTACAGTGTAAAACTATCAAACTATTTAGATACTCTTGAATTTTTTACAACGAGAAATTCAGCGACAAATATAAATTTATATCTTTTAATTAACTTTCTGTGAAAAAAACAAAAAATCCAGGAAAATTACCGCTTACGATTAAAAGTCGATTATTGTCAGTAACTTCCGAGCGTTGATAGCGCGTGGGTAGTGTGAGACAAGTTTAAGCTGCCGGGTAATAGTCAAATATTCACGTACGTTTATTTCAATTGCACTGAAACTCATTCTTGTTTTTTTTTAAGCATAAATTATTTTTAACTCCTTTCGATTTTTCTCGAGCTACTTAAACCGAATTTTCCATTATCACGCCGTGAACTATATTCAACAACTTTAAAAGATAAAAACAGAGCAATATAAATTACTGAAAATTTTTTTTGATTGCCATCCATTTCAAAACAATCAAACATTTATTTGAGCATCTGACAATCGGGTTGCCTGCATAACCACGATTCAAAGCTTCATTTAAAAGTCAAACAATCTATAAAATATTTATGGTCCAATAAAATTCAGCGGAGATTAAAATTGGTCACTTTTTACGATTTATCCTTTATGATTATTTTATTAACATTATTATTAACCGGTATGACTAAAAGGAAATTGATGTTTCGGTGTTGATAGATTGTAAAAGATTGTTAATAAAATTTTTCTGTCTGAATTGTTATTTAACTACATCTTTCGGCAAGCAACACGAGAGGGGTAAGTGTATGTGACTGTATCAGACGCGAATCGCTTGTGAACTGCCACTAGTTCTGACGCGGGACTTTATTGGAGATCGCGCGCCTCGACGCTCGTTCGATGACTACAGAATCGCGACGCGACTGTGCAAGATCCTTACATTATGATTCATAGACACATGGGTTATTTACCTAAGTGGCTTTATTTACATCTAGGGTTACTAAACGACACATTTTTTTTTCCTTTATTCAAACAAGTCATCGAATTCTAGATTTTTTCGCTAATTTATTTTTGAATATAACCAAAATTTCTAAAACAATTTTTTTCTTTAATGAAATTAATTACTTTCTGTTTAAATAAAATTTTTTTACAATAAATATTTTCTAAAATTATTAAAAAAATAAGATCTACTTTCAATTTTTTTACAAAAAATGATTCAATTTTTTTTCAAACACTTTTTAATCAAAAATTTTGATAAAATAATTAATAATTTCTAAAAATATTTAAATAAAATTTTTTACAATAAATACTTTCCGAAAATATTAAATATTAATTAAAAAAATAAAATCTACCTCCAAATTTTATGTAAAAAATGATTCAATTTTTTTTTCAAACATTTTTTAATCAAAAATTTTGATAAAATAATTAATAAATTCTTTAAATACCCAAATTAAATTTTTTGACAATAAATATTTTCCGAAAATAGTAAATATTAATTAAAAAATCAATACTTTTGATGAAATAAAAATAGATAGATTGATCCAACACTGACTTAAATTTTGTTATTTACTATAACGATATTTTTGTAAAAGAATGAGTAGCCAAGAATAAATGGAGTTGGTGAAACTTGTTATTACTATTATATCTCAGAGACAACAGACAGACGAACAATCGAGGATGACTTTTCAAGTCGTTGAAAAGAATAGAATCATCAACAACTGTGTACCACTCAGTGTTGAGCGTGTAGCAGAAGATGCTGAGTATTCCATGAGCCATTTGGATTATTGAGTATAGAGAGTGCAATTTCAGCGTACAACACTACACGCTAGACTAGTTTTTCTCCTCGCCATTTGCGTCGACTGCTCCCCAGGCTCAATGTACACCAACACTAACACTAACTGCACAATATAATTGAAAGGAGACCTGAAAAATTAACCTGCTCTAGCTCTCTCTCTCTCTCTCAAAAGGACAGCATTATTATTTTCCGCTCTAGCTCTCTCTCTCTCTCTCTCTCTCTCTCTCTCTCTCTCTTTCTATCTATACATAGATCTCATTAAAAACTCGCTTCGCATTAAGCAACTAATCCCTGATTTATTTATTCCTCCTATACCCGGTTTAACTCCAAATGCATAAATTTTAAATTTATTTCGTATACGGAGAGAAAATTTATTGATTAACTTTTTTATTTTAAATTAAGTACCCCCAATTTTGATAAATTTGGAAGATGACGAGTGTGGTGGCGTACTGTGGAGTAGCAATCAGAAAAATTGGAAAATTTTTTGGAGTTTATTTATGTCTGTTTTCGATAGTTTGAGAAAACATACTTATATAATATGGCTTATAAGTTAAATAAGAAGTTTTGTTGATCAATTCTCGTGTCGGGAGCGATCAATTTAACCGAGTATTAAATTTCATAGCTGAGAAAATTTTTTCCATTGATTTGATATGATGAAAAATGAGAGAATCTCAGGAGAAAATACTAGAGTAAAAAGAGTAGAGAAGAATAAGAAATTGAAGATGGACAAATGGATGGCACAACTGACGACCGAAAAAAGGGTAGACGACCTAATAAATGCAAAGACAAAAAACATTGAGATAGTCGGTAGCCGGGTATACGTATATAAACTTTGGACGAATGTAAATTTCCATTTTTCCACGCTAATAAAATACGAATCTCCGAGTGCTGAAGAGAGTTAGAGCTCCGTTGGTTATCTCTTAACTAGGGGATTTTTTATCTTTTGAGAAGAGAACAGTAGTGAATGGCAAAGGGGGAGAGGGGGAAGGGAAGGTTACGATCGGACGTAAAATGACAACCGATTGAAATAGAACCCGCTGAAACTCTAAATAAATATAACAAACAACCTGTTTTATTTGTTTTCACCATTGTTGGTTTATTTATTTGTTCAATTAATTGAATCAGCTTTGGAAAATAGAATTATAATAATTGTTTAGCCAATAAATTAAATTAACTTGAGTGCAATGAACGTAAGCTGGTAATTGCTGATTCAGTCGGACGTAATCCACCGGCAGGATAATTACGCCAGCACAAACCGCTCCTGTACATGGTCCAACCTCACGAGCTACTCATGGTTTGCTACCTTATCAATTTACGGTATCATAATTGAACTTCTGAATAAATTTCTTTGCTTTTTTTTTTTGTTTTGCTGGATATATTTGTCTTTAAGGTGCAGCCATCCTGTGCTGTACAGGGACTTGATTAAATTTATCGTTTGCTTTAGATGGAAACATTTTTTGACGTAGTTATTTTTTTTTCTTACGTACGTTACCCGGTAAAGTAATTGCAAGGCATATTTTCCGGGAAATTTTATCCCTAACATTTTAGAAAAATTATATTGCATTATTTTTAATAAATAATTATTATTATAGAGTGATAATAAAATAAATTTCAGTAGATAAAAAAAATGATTACTAAAAATAAAGGACGTCAAGAAAAATAAGTTTATAGAATTTCATAAAATTGTCACATTGAACGTAATCGAATTTGCTGGTACCTACATTACTAGTTTGAGCCATTAAATTACTCCCGCGAGTAATACTCTGTGAATTGCACGAGCGTATTGGAATTTGTTTTCCTACAACCGGCGATTGATGGTTTTTTCAGGGAATTCCATCCTCGCTTGGTAACCTACAGGCCATTACTACGAGGAATCTTATTTTGATTTAGTTCCGAAGCGTTGTACAAAGTAACTGCAAGCTTCAAAATAAGATAATATATCAAATTACTGCTAACTCAGTTCTACAAAAATAAACAACCTCAGATCTAATCCGAGAGACCGAAAATTTCGATGATTTAAGCTTGACGGTTGATATCAGAGCTCACCCTCATTTGAGGTGTGCAATTTGAATTTCTATACTCTGTATTATCATTCAAATAAATATGATAATACAATATACATATTTAAAAGTAACTTTTTAGATGGTATCTCATTTTACGAAGCGTTAAAAATAGGCTGGATTTCTTTTTATTTCCTGGAGCTATTTTTTATGTCTAGATATTTAACGTAACATTGAATAAGCATTTTTATACACTATTTTTTGAAACGGCTGCCATAACATATTTTTCATCTTCATATTCCTTCACGGTCGTTGGCTCCGGTATCTTCCCTCCGTCAGTGCCGCAGAAGTTGATTCCTCTTGGGGACTGTAACTCATCCCTGGTTTATATATCGGTGACACTCTCCAACTCTATGTGAGGGTATGCTTCTCAGTGTGAGGAGAGCGTAGCTGGTCCAGAAATTTGCACACGGTCCACTATTCAGATAGGAAATATCTCGGAAAAAGTCCTTTCCATGCAACGAATCCCGGTCGTAATCCATAACCCAGTGTACTTAAATTTAAGGGTGATGGATAATAGGTGATGGCTGGTGTCACTGTCGTTAACGATGCACCATAATTTTTAATAAATCACCAAAAATTTAAAGTTATTTCATCCAAAGAACGTAAATTCGAGACCGTTTTAATTTCTTTTCTCCTATATGTTTTTTTTTTTTCCATTCAATGAAATGATGTCGCAACTCGCGAAACCTTCAAATAAATATTTCAGTAAAAGCCCACTGCAATACTGGCACAGCATATATGGCTCGGACATAAAGATGAATTTATATTCTTACAAAATTGATGATACGTAAAGTGCTGCCAGCTACACTGATAATGAAACTTTAAATCTGTCAACTCGTAAAGAGAAAAACTCACCTACCCTTATTTCCAATAAAGTCACTTCTCTAAAAGCTATTTATAACTCTATTGAACAGAGAAGGATAGCCTAACATTTTTTTTATCAATTATTATTGGATTTTTTCTATCACATATTTCATTTCCCGACGATAATCCATTTCGTTTTACACCGCTAATTCTCCCCATTCGATCTAGATACCAAAATTTTAAGTGTAATATGTATTATAATAGTAAGCAATAAATGTACCTGAAGTGTCTAATGGCTGTCGGTGAAACTTGAGTTTGGCCGGAAGTGCCAAGAGTCCTGCCAATGAGAGTTGGACCCCGGAACTCAGAAGATGGGCTAAGATACCAACTAAAACTATAATCCACCCCCAACCTCCTTCAGGGTAGTAATGACTATACACAACTTTTTGCACTTGTACTTGTACTCGAGCATTATTGTTGTTATTAAAATTATTATAATTATTTTTAGGGACTTTTTTACTTTCACATACGCGAATTTTCGAAAAATTATGATTGTTCCCATTAACATTGAGCATAATTGCATTTTCGTTCTGTGGACATGCGGAAAAAATGAGACTATCTGAAAGACGTTCGACGTCTAACTTGGATGAAAATTCTCGCGTGGTTCTTGCCTCTGTTTTGGGGAATCGTTTCTGGGAGAAAAGAGCGAGAAAAGTGAATGAAATGCTAGAGTGAGAGAGAAGCGAAAAAAAAGTGGGATTTGTCATTGCATATGAATGACAGTATTCTTGTTGCGCATGCGATTTCTGGATTTTATTACCACGTGCTTTTAGTTAACGCGCAGGGTCTTTCCATTATTCTTATTACAAGACAAGGTATATATTATGCAGAACGATGAACGATGAATGAAGAAACAGGATAAAAATACAGCTGCGGTGGACTCGGGTTTAAAGAGTAATCTAAATTAAGGGGATTTATAACTCGAAAAATAAAAAATCATTTGATATTTATTAACGGAAATATAACATTAAGTATGTTGATGATTCTATAGATATAAATGATGATTTACACCCGTCAGCTGAGAATTTTTATTATTTAAGGACGTCCAGTTTATCGCATTTTGCTCGGTTTTAAATGCAAATAGTCGACAGTTACGATATTTTTCATTGGCTGAATATTAAAAATTTGATTTATCGCCTTCAGATGGCAACTTCATTTTTTTCGAGCGTTAAAACGAGATTTGTCAAAAAATAAGACAACTTTAATCTTGGAACATTAATTTAATTTTTTATAATTTATAATTATTATTACAGTAAATATTTAAATTATACATGATTAAATATACGAGCTTAAAATTAAAATAAATTATTGACTACTCTGGCAGTGAGTAAAGCGGTTGGCGGGTACGCAGCTTTTTGAAGCCGGTGAATAAATTTTATTTGGAGGACAATCGTGAAGGTAGCCTTCCGTTGAGCCTGATTTGCCTTCTAGACACTTCACGTACTTGTTACTGCACTCTTCATGATGAGGAAAGTGTCCTAGACCAGGACAGAGGCAGTTTTGGCTGACGGGGATCTATAATAAGAAATAAACACTAATAAAAAAAACCAAAAATAAAATTTTTGAACAAACTTACCATTGGTATTGACTTCTCAAGCAATTGGTCGTACAATTTTTTGTTTGCTTTCAAACCTTTGCAGGACATAGTTAATTCTTGAGCAGGAAGACATTGGACCTTCTTTTCGTCGAAAGCTGTGTCTTCGGGGCATTGGAGGACTATGATGTTGTAGGAATATATGATGGGGGAAGTACATTGATAGAAAAGATTACAATATTTTGGATGTCGACGGAACCCAGTTGGACAAACGAGGGCTATTTGTTCGCCAGTTAGGTTTCCTATTGGGCAATGTGCTCCTGAATGAGTCGAATTAGAAGCTAAGTCGAGGTTTTCATCTTTATCGATAATAACGTTGTTCGTGTCAAAGTTGTTAAGGTAATGCTCTTCCGAGAAACTGGAAGTTTTATTGTTGCTGGAGTTGGACTCATGACTGTCGTTTTTGTCTTTAGAATTGTTTTCAAGGAATCCGTCAATATCTTCGTACTCAATAGGCTCTGGGGTTGTACCGGTGTTTACCTCATCAGTCGGATAAGTTTCTTCGGATTCGAATGTGTTATCGTGACCATAGTTATGATCATTAATGTTGTTTTCCATCACAGTTTTATTATTTTGTTGGTCTAAGTTGAAATCATTTCTGGAATGTTCTGAAGAATGATCATGATTTTCGGTGTCCACATTCTGATTAGAATTTTGGTTAACATCTACTTTATTATGCTCATTATGCTCATTATTTTGCAAGTGTATGTCATTAGACCCAAAATCGCTCTCATGAGATTGTCCAATTTCAAGTTCGTTAAAATCATGATCTGACCCACTTTCTTCATTGTGTGATTGGGCGTTTTCATTAGATTCAGTTTTTAGTTTGTTGTCAAGTTCTTCATAATGAGAATCTTCTCCAAATTCATGATGGGATCCATGATTAGAATCATGAAGTTTATGCTCTTCGAAATGATTGTCTTCTTTTTGATGGTCGTACTCAGATTTATCAAAGGATTCTTTTTTGTGATTGACATCAAGTTGATTGTGATCTATTTCTTCAAATTCAGTTTTATGATGACCGAAATCATTGTTGTCAATTTCTCCGTGCATAGAACCGTCATTATGTTTTTGCTGATGACTCTCATTGGTGTTGTTGTTGATGTTCTTATCGTTAGAATTTGAACTGTTAATATTGTTATCATTATTTTTATTGGAGCTTGTATTATCATATAAATCTGAGTGTTCTGATTTATGAGTCATACTATTGTATTTGTCGTTGTCATACTTATCATTGTTATCATCTTGGTGTCCCGAAGAACTGCCATGGCTATTATTTTTATTATTTGAACCATCTTGGGAACTATTTTCATCGAAATTGTTTTGGATGTGATTTGAATTTTCCGAATTAATATCAAATTCATCGCGATGAGTTTTTTGATTGTTAACATCATTAGATTGTTCATTATAACTATTTTCATCTACCGAATTATTTTCACCAACATGGCTCTCAATATTGTGATTATTTTCGTGGTTATCACTTTCGAAGTGATTTATATTTTCTGAATTTTCATTAAATTCATTATGATTGTTAACGTTAGAGTCTTTGTGATAATTCATATCATGTCCCGAAGAACCACCTTGGAAATTATTGTCATAATTGGAATTATCTTGGAAACTATTATCATTGTGATTGTTTTCAATGTGATTTGAACTTTCGGAATTGTTATCTAATTCCTGGTGATGAGTGTCTTGATTGTTGTTCAACTGTTCATTATACTCATTTTCACCTACAGAATTAATACTATTGACATTACTCTCACTGTTGTGATTTTTTTCAAAACTAGTTTGATTGTAGTGACTGTCCGAGTATTCTGAATTTCCTGAAATAGGATTGACTTCATTATGTTGAGTTTGTTGATTTTCTATATTATTAAATCCTTGATTATCAATCATTTCATGCTTTGAATTTTCTTCAGTGACATTCTTTTGACTTTCGTATTGATTTAGAGAATTTTTTTCAACGTTATGGTTTTCGAAGTGATTTGAACTTTCTGAATTATGATTGTGTTGATCATAAGTTCCTTGATTTTCAACATTATTAGCGTTTTCCTGGTAGTTTATATCATGCCTTGAAGAATTGCTTTGGACCTGGTTTTTACCATAAGAAAAGTCTTCGTAATTTGTTTCATTGTAATGATTTTCAACGTGATTTGAATTTTTATCAAATTCCTGGTGATGAGTATTTTGATGGTTGAAATTATTAAATTGTTCATTATAACTATTTTCACCTACCGAATGATTTTCGCCGACATTGCTCTCAATATTTTGATTTTTCTCAAAATTATTTTTGTTGTAGTTGCTGTCTGAGTAATCTGAATTGCCAGAATTTTTGTTAAATTCATTATGATCAGTTTGTTGATTATCTACGTTGTTTTCTTGATTATAAATAGTGTCATATTTTGAATTTTCTCCATTGACATTATTTTGATTTTCATATTGGTTTTGAGAGTTATTTACATGATTAAAACTTTCAAAGTAACTTAAATTTTTTAAAGTGTTGTTTAATTCATTGTGATAAATTTTTTGATTTTCAAAATTATTAAATTCGTGTAAATTCGTATCATGTCCTGAAGAACTACCGTGGACGTTATTTTCACTATTAGAATGATCTTGAGAACTATTTTCATCGTAATTATTTTGACTGTAATCAGAATTATCAGAATTAATATTGAATTCATTTTTATGAGTTTCACGATTGTTAGCATTGTTAGAGTTTTCGGAATGATTCATATCATGTTTAGAGGAACTACTGTCGACATTATTTTGATCATAAGAATGATCTTGGGAACTACTACCATCGTAATGATTCTTACTGTAATCAGAATTATCTGAATTAATATTAAATTCATTTTTATGAGTTTCACGATTGTTAGAGTCTTCGAAATGATTCATATCATGTTTAGAGGAACTACTGTCGACAATATTTTGATCATAAGAATGATCTTGGGAACCACTTCCATCGTAATGATTCTCACTGTGATCTAAGTTTTCAGATTTATTATTAAATTGATTTTCAAAGTTACTATTAGATTCCCTATTGTGATTAATTTCATAACCTGAAGTACCTTCACTGTCATTACTTTCATTATGTTCATGATTTTGAGAACTATTTCCATCAAAATGATTCTCTCTGTGATCTGAACTCTCAAAATCATTACCGAATTCATTTTGATGATTTTCCTGTTTGTTAAAGTTATCGAATTTTTCCTGTGAATTAATATCTTTGTCTGAAGTACTTCCACCGAAACTTTCATTATATTCATGGTTTTGAGAACTATCTTCACCATAATGATTTGAATTTTCTGAATGACTATTAAATCCATTATTCATTTCTTGATGTCCAGCGTTATTAGATTGTTGATTATTATTCATTTCATAACCCGAAGAACCTGCGCTGCCATTACTCTCACCATTGAAATGATTTTGATTATTATGTTCTTCAGAAGAACTATCCATACCTCCAGAATTATCTGTCTCTTCTGAAGTATTGTCTATGTCTGTACTATGAATACCTCCACTAAAACCATCAAAATTGCCACTATTCTCAGATTGAGTGAATTGATTATTCACATTATGATTACTATCCTTATGTGAAGAATGTGAACTATCATATTCATTATTATATCCATTTTGAGTACTACCTTGTCCATATACATTATTCGTTTCGCTAGCATGACTTCCGGTAAACCCTGAATTATTGAATTCCGTCTGAGTTTCTTTATTTCTATGATTGCTATGCTCCGAATTCTCATTAGTACTTTGCCCATGATTAAAACTATCGTACCCATTATTATTAATTCCATTCTGCTCCGAATAACTTCCTTGATTATTAGACTCTGTCCTGTCCTTTCCAAAGAACCCATTAGAACCATAATGATTTTCTTCGCTAAGTAAATTTTTATTGCTCTGACTTTGCGAATTATGCTTAACCTTTTCAACATTGCTTTCTGAATGAACCATCTGATTAAAACCATTTTGCGAGTTCAAATTCTCATTGAACCCATTGGATTGCCCGCCTCCAGTCATCGATCCATGATTTTGTGACCATGCAGACGATCCACTCCAACTTCCACCTCCATTCTGATAAAATCCTAGACTACCTTGGCTCCCTTGCTGGAATCCGGCGCTTCCTGACCTACACTCTGTCCTTGACGTCGCCCAGCTAACCATACACCATTGTTTCTCGTTCTCCCACACTGTATTGATCGGACAAGTGTACGCGACTTTATTATAAACGTAATTTGCCATGATCATACATGAGTAAAACTTCCGACAGTCTGATGGGTCGGCCATAAACCCTTCGCCGGTACATGACGGCTCATAGTTGGTCCTCACAACCGGGTTTTTTTTGTGCAGGTACCACGGACTGCCTATAGTTTCGTATTCTAAATGAGAAGATTGAGAATTCCACTTGTAATTTTGACATTTAGCGTTGCCACTGAACCTCGGAAGCATACATCTCTTCCGGTTATACGAATACACCGTTCCTGGACCACAAACGTGCTTATGGGCTTTTAGTCCGGGCCCAAAACCTGTTGAATCGCAGTGGTAGAAGACCGCACAGTCATTGGGGTGCTCGAAGTACCCTCTTCCAGGGCATTTGAACTCATCTTCACTCACTTTCTGAAAGCCTGGAAATTTTTATTCATATAATAGGTTATTGTCATTATCTGTTTTATTTTAAAATTTTTTTTATTGTCGCAAGTGTTACTTACCATTGTAACCAAATGTTGCGTAGGTAAGTGTCACACACAAATTTATCAAAAGAACTGTTCTCAGCATGTTGTTAAAAGTCGATAAACTTTGATAAGAAAAGTTTATTGAAAAAATTTATTTATTGTTGAAGAAATTTTCATCCGAAAAAACGATTTAATTATTTACTTATTTTTTCAAAATAAAAAAAAAGTTAAAAAATAAAATAACTCACGGAACGACAAAGATAATTTAACAGTAACGCATTACTTGTTGATTAATATTTCGAAGCGGTAAACTCAAATTTATAGATCCATACTTCATGCATGAATACCCAAGTGACATTGACGGTAAAGTATCTCGAATAATATAGCATCTGTGTTAATAATTGTTTTAATTTGAATTGTCTTTATCATAAGAATAAAAATTTACTCAAGATAATATTAATTGTTGTTAAAACATAATTTACGCACTTAAAACGATGTTCATACATCTTAAATAATTACATGATGATTTATCATCTCAAAAATTTAACAACCAATCAAACAATAAAGATTATTTAAACAATAAAATAATAATATTTTTTTAAATATTTAATTGTAACTCTTGAATATGGATTTATAAATAAACTTGATCTGTTATCGCATATCGCAAAATTACGTAAATAAAAAACGTGTGAAAAAAATAAGTCCGATATTGTTTGTCTAACATTAATCGAACCAGCTGTTTTAAGGCTGGTGTCAAAATAATATTTATTTATTGCGCAAAAAACCGGGTTATTAAGTCACCTCGGTTATGATTTATTAAATAACATTTATTTTTCCTGTCAATAATCGTAATTAAAAGCCCATTTATAATTAAGTTAATAGGAGGATAATTTATTTATTGCAAACATTTAATGTTTATCTGGCTGTATTATTTACTACGATACTATTCAAGTCTTATTTAACAGACTTCAAGTACACATTGCACATTAATAGTCTAATTCGAGTATAGTACTAATTTACGCGACCCAAATTAGAAACAAATCCCAGCTGTAAACTTACTTTGCACCGTTTATACGATCATAATTTCTAGTCCCGAGGATTTACCTGAACATAAATGTCCTCGTCGGTTTAAATCACTCCTAAATCTCATCTTTTACAACTCTATTAATAGCAATTAGTAAATCAAATGATAATTAAAGTTCATAACAACTATCTTTAGCCCTTAAGTCGATAAGTAAAAATAGTTGTTGGTAAGAAAGTTATCTTTGACGCTGTAAGTTCTTGGTAATCCGTCTCTCCGTTCAATACCTGCCTTACCATGCTCGGTACCGGTGGTAGGTACGCGCACTCTTACCATTTTTTCCAACGGCTACAAATCTCCAGCATCAGAAGAGCTGAGTTCAACCCTTTGTTCATCACAAGCGAAAAAACCGACAAACTTATATTATGATATGATCTGAATTTCCCCGAGCAGCAATAAATAACATCGTTACATCGCTCCTCGCATTTAAAGCGTATAACTCAGTCCTAAATGGTAATCGGAATCACAATTTAAAAACCTTCATAATAGTATTATTTTTTTCTAAACATTACATCCTCCCTTTGTGCCTTTGCTCACATCATTCTCTCATAAATTTTTCTATTTTTCCACATCCGCTCCGTTTGCAAGCATATATAGACAAGCACGCATACATAAAGGATTAGCCGGATAATTTATGCACGAGCGGGAACGGAGAACGCAGAGCATCTGAGAGCGTCACGAGAAAGTGCAGATTTATGTTAGGTCACCGTCTATAGGAAAAACTGTCGCGTTCAGGTGAGTGTGTTGACATTGTTTAGTTTGCCGCGAATTACCCAGGACTCAGGACTCCATAAATCACACGTGGCACGACACTCTACGGGTTTTTTCATCCTATTCCGTCAATCTCGCTCTATTAAATATTCATGGGTGGGAAGTTTTCGGACGAGCGAGAGCGAACAAAGCGGGACAAAGCTTTATTGATTCTTATGCGAATAAATGACGGCCGTGTATGACAATGTGGTTATTGAAATAAGATGTTGGATTATTGATCACCTCTACTTTATACTTCCAGAATCCAATACGGCGTATTTGGATTTAAATGAGTCGTTTATTTGATACGAGAAAACGTTCGTTCTTTTGAGTTCACAGAAACCCATTTTTCAGGAAAGGAACATTACTTTCTGGAAATAATATTGAGTAATAAATTAAAAATAAAAGTAACCAGTGAATACATTTTCTGATTTGTCTATGTATAATTTTTTGGTGACCGTCTTTTATTTCTCCTGCAATAATTACCTACGACAAAATTTCTCATCAATAATTTCTTATGCAATTATATTATTTTATTTATGTTAAAATTTTTATTGTTTTTAATTTGTATATTTAAAAATGTGTCATAATGTTATAATCAAATTTGTGAGTAATTTTTCCGGATTAATAAAGGCGGGGAGCCTAATTTTTTATATGACTTGATCTAGCGGTTATAATCTAATATAATTAGAAATTAAAAATTATCATCTTATAGTCCAAATGAAAATTTTTTCATGAGCATACCATTAAAATCATCAAATCTCACCTGTGTTGATCACAGTCTGATTGAATTGACGGACAGTTAAGGCCAACAGAATTCCGAACGCAGTTTGGAGACCGTGACTAAGCAACTGGACAATTACGCCAACAATGACTATCACATAACCCCAGAACCCCGCGGGATAGTAATGGTTCTGGAGGGTGACTTTCTTCCTCGCATTGACCGCGTCTGGATCATCGGGGTCGTCATCTTCGGGCGGCGCGACAAGTTTCTCGAATTCCGGCTCGCATTCCGCCAATCCGCCTTCCAGAATAAGCTGCTCTGAAAATCGTCTTCTCATAATTTTCGATACACTAGGTTCGACGCTGTCCCTGCGGAGACTCTTGACGCTCATTTCCGAGCCACGTCTAAAAGAATTACATCTTTCTCTGTAAACTTCTCCCCTGAATTTATCATCGTCAATCGACGTAAATCGACAAGTTTCCTCGGTGTTTTTTGTCAACGCGGAGCTGGGTCTCAAGAGTGTAGTAACAGTCATTGTGGAATGCTTATCCTCGAGATCGCTCGGGCTGGCTTTGCTCATCAGTGAATCAGATGATTTCTTTTGATAGTGATAAAGCGGACCCGGGAAACTTTGGTTTGATTCCTGAGAAGAATTCTTATCAGACGCTGATGAGGATGACAGCGAATTTTTCCGGCAGTTGAGACAATCGCAGGATTTTGAGTTTCTGTTAATGAGAAACCGAAGAAGGACGGTGGTTTGCTCGGGGTTCGCTTGGAGAATTTCTGCTAATTCGTCGTCAGAAAGCGACGACAGCTCGCAAGTCGAAAGAGGGAGCTTCAGCAAATTAAGAGCTTTTCGCAATTGAGATTGGGAGGCTGGAGTGGAGCATCGCGAATTATCAGAATTTACCGACTGATAACTCAGAGTCTCGGTTAATTTTTTCCTGTGTGTGGTCGAACGTGACTCAAAACTTTGTCGGCGCATTAATTCCTCCGCTTCAATGATCGCATTGTCATCTCCCATTGCAGCTACGTAGGAGTGACGTCGCTTGTGTTGGAGTCCCGAGAGAGTAAACTTTTCCATTTTGCTTCGCCTTACGTTTTTTACATACGAACAATGTTGAACTTTCAGAGTATATGCAGTCAAAATTGAATACGTCTCGACCACGGTGTACTTTTACAGAAAGTTTTATGCTATTCTTACAAATGACTCAGGAAGTTTAAACTAATAATTGAATTTGTACGTTCGATCTTGCGATCTTGAATCAATCAGCATAAGATAAATTCACGTGTTATTCTGTTCAATTCAATTTACAGGTTACATAAAAATAGCATTGTTTAAATTATTTTAATCAATTCTTTGTTTTTATCTTGAATTAAATTTTTTATCTTTTCACCGAAACTTTATGTGGAAAAACGCCAAGTATTTTTTTTTTCTACTACCCAAAAACAAATTAAACACATTTTTCACACCAAATTATTCACTCGCCATCACAATTTTTTCCCAGACAATAAACAGCAGAATCAATAGAGAATGCTCGTAAACGAATGAAACGCGTGTTTCACGTCGGTACTTAAACCAATACTGATAGCCACTAAAATAAAATCACTTGGGTTTTTACTGTCAACCTCATCGAGTAACAGCAGCAACCACGAATAATTGCATCATTACTTCAAGTACCTGCTAATGATGTTCATAATTCTGAACACGAATTGAAAATAGACTATGAATTTTATTTCACATTACATTACTCGATTTCTCGACAACATCAATGTCGCGACGCAATACCATTAATATTTTTTACCTACCCCAATTCTCGATTTATTTCGCAAAACAGTTAATTTGTTTCCACCACTGGTCAGCTCACCTTGTATTACACATAATATCGTACTCGTGCTTTTTATATAATCCGTATAGTAATATTTCCCGATGAATTACTTTTCTTTGTTTGATACCTTGACCCCCATCTGTTGCATCAATTCGACTTCGACGTGACCAGCACGCACGTATTTATGAGCTAAAACTAAATTAGTATTCCGCAGTTGTAGTTGTTGCCGGTAAACTTCTCTGTATAAGCCTTCTTATTCATTGTATTTTATCAAACAAGGTATCATTAAATCATTATTATACTATCTCAAATATGTACTTTTAGTTTTATACTACGTGAGTTCAATTTATAATTTAATTATACCATACAATATATTACAAATTATTATTCTTACCTTTAAACGTTCAATAGGATCCTGTTTTCTGGAAACTTATTTATTACTTATCATTTATTGCAATTTCTACTTCATCATAACGATCTAAATAGTAATTACACGAGGAGGTTTCTTTTCACCTTCTTATTCATCACTTCAAAAGAAGCCTCGTCGGAATTGAAAAGAACGCTTCATATTATTTAAAAAAAAACTTTAAATAAATCTTAGCAGCTAAAATCTAACCAAACCCGTCTTTTAAAAAATGATAACCATTTTCAAACACCATAAAACCAAAAATTATTTTCATAATTATTTTCTCAACATAAAAAACCAATTTCCAACAAAATTAACTTTTATTTTACCTGAAAAGTCAACCGGCGGATGATTGAATTTCAATTCCGCAGAAATGTAAACAGTCCCAGGAACAGAAAGCTGTAGACCGACTCCCAGCAAATGAACCAAAGCAGAACAAGTAACAATAATAAAACCCCATCCGCCTTCCGGATAATAGTGTCCTCTCAGAAGCACCTCCTTCTTGTGATTAGCCTCCGCGGAAAGGCATCCATCATTCTTTTTGTTCCCAGACTTAGGATCTGCAAAACTCTTAGTCCTGCGGCCAAAAATCCTACCAATATTCGGGGGAATTTCGTAAGTAGCTGACCTAGACCTGAACCTTCGTTCGACAATTCTGTTATTTTTGTAATTAAACCGACCATGTTCCCTGTCGAATCTCTTGACCGCGTTTTCAACGGAAGCGCGAAAGGGATCCACTTGCTTCAAGTAGCTCTCGGATTTGCATTTGCTGCACGCCTGTTGAGCATTTATCCACGGTTTCGGGTCGGAGGTGTTCGGCCCGTCGAAATCGATCACTGTAATAACAGGGGGGTCGTTCTCCGAGCTTACGGACCGGCATTGGTAATCGAGTTTGTCGTGTGTTATAATTTTCTTGATCAATAATGAATCCCCCCCTTCTTTCTCAGAACTTTCAATCACGAGCTTTACGTCCTCGATTAATTTATCAACGGATTGATTCGGAAGCCCGGAATTGGCGATTTCACTCCGGGAGGTTTCTTCGCCAATTGTGAAGATAACTCGAGTATTTTTCAGCTCAACGTCACTCGACGGAAATTGATCGGCACTTTCAATCGCAACTTCATCGCTAGACAGATTTACCGTTAAGGTCTCGGAGTTAACAACTCTTCCGTCAATCACTCGATCACTATTGCTATTCTGGTCACTATCCTTGTTAGCGAACTCTGCTATCCGTCCACTGTCCTTCTGATCAACGCAGGAACAATACCCGTCACTGTTCACTATCGTGTACGTCCTTGTGATGGGGTTCACCCTCAGAGTCACCAAACAGTCCGGCCACGAGTAACTCTGCTTCATTTTCCACCGGATTCATCAGAATAAACTTTTGATTCAATTCAATTCAATTGTAAGCTTTTTTTGAAAAAAAATGGATAGTTTTGGTTGCTTTTTAGAAGTGATCAACGAATTGTGTATCACGGCAACGGAGTGACGACTGACTGAGGACCCACGTGTCCAAAGAGCTAACAACATCCTCGAATGTTTAACCCCCGGGGCGCATGCCCGCGTTTTCACCTATAGGGTTTGTGTCACGCTGTTAGAAATACAAGCACAAAGCCACCCTTTCACGCAGGAGCGAATAGAAGGCACCCGGTGGACTTGAACGAGTAAATATAATCCTGACCTACCTCAACTGTTCGTGTCTGCTGGAGATTAAACGATTACTCGACCGGTGTTCTTCGCTGCTTCTTATCTTCTTATCTTCTCCAAGGAGCCCGTTAAACTGCTATTAAATTTAGCTGGTGGATCAAAAAAGAGATATGCGTTTAAAAAATATCAAAACGTCATTTTATTAACAAATTGAACAAGTTTACAGTTTTATCAGGACTTATGGCTGGTTTATTTATAAATAATATTTTTGACTGTTTGAAATTTTACATTTCAAAACTTTTAATAGATATAATGCAAGTTTTATAAAAAAAAAAAATTGTTAAAAATAATCTTGAAGATCTTTTAGTGAAACAATTTTCTGACGAGATCTCTGTTGGAGGTTTTAAAAAACTATTTTGATAAAAAAATTACACATGGATAATTATATCAGAAAATTTCTTCACAGATAATTTACATAATTTATAAACAGTCATTATTATAATTACAATTACAATTACAATTATGATGATCAACGAAATACTACATGGAAGCATTGAGATAACTCAAGGTAAATTTGACTCTGGACTTGAATTCAGGCAAGTACTTTCTCGCGGATTGATCAATAGTGAGATCTCTCATGAGAAGACCGCAATCTAAGCGGTCATTGTCGCAACGCCTGTGATGATGCTTGAGGACTTGCCGAGGATCTAAATGGTAGACACGTCTTGAAGTTGGATTTAGTGTCGTTAAGGCATAGTGATTGTGAATGGTAAGTGCACGCTCGGTAGACACAAAACTCTTGACCGAGTCGCCTTCCGGAGACACAATTGATGTTCTCAGTGTATGAAAATAATTGAGCAAACGTGAGTCATTGTCAACGGTACTTATTTTTTTACCATTATTTTTATTTATTCTACTGCCGTTATCATTATCATCATTATTATTATTTTTATCATTATTATTTATACTGGCTAGTCTCTGGAGCTCGGGGAAAAAATATACATTTCTCACAGCATAGGAAGCGTAATCGTAGAACGAATTCCCCTTGCTCTTTTCGAGGGCCATCAATTCTGACCAGGTTCTCACGTTTATGGGGATAATCATCTCGTCGATGTCGATCGGGACCACGAACTCCGAGCTGTAGAGGTTCTCGTAAAAGCAGTGGTTGTAGGGGATCAGCTCCATGCGTCTCTTCATCCAGATATCCTTGCTGAACAGCCGTCGTCTTGCCTTTACGTCGTTCGGAAGATCGCCAGGCAGATTCAGCCGGAACCATCTCACGACGTTCGATTTCTCGTAGAGCTTTAACACTTTGGTGACGTTCTCGTGGACGTTGAAGACGTAGACGTAGAACATACCCGCGCCCAAGATGCGGGAAAGCTCGAAGAACGCGATCAGCCGGTGGCTTATGTCTTCGTCAAAGTCCAGGCCCTTTATGCACAAGGTGAACTCTGTTTTAGGTATCACTGTTTTATTAACAACGTTTTTCACAATTAAACTATGACTAGGGTTTTGGTAGCACTCGTGAGGCCCCACGTACACTCTCCGAGGCGGGGTCACGTATTGCGGAAGAGGACAGGTTATCAGTATGCCGGTGTAGTCTGTCGATGTTCCACCCCACTCGTCCAGCCAGATGTCTGATACCAAGGCTTCCATGCTGTAGGAATGGATTCCTTCTTCGTCTTCTTGCCTGAAAAAAAAAAAAAAAAATAATTCGTTGGTTAATTAGCTTGTTTATTTACTGACGGGTTGATTGGAAATCAATTCAAAATTTTTCCAAGAACACAATGTTGAAATTCTTTAAATAAAAAAAAATTCCAGATATTTTTTAAAGTTCAATGACTTTTTTCAATCAATTTGAAAATTATTTCTCATTTTTACATTTTTTAGCTGTTTTAGAATTCTATGAAGAGAGAAAGAAAGAAGACTTCTAAGCTCAAGAATTTTTTTTAAATGAACCATTTAAATTTATCAAATTAACGAATTTTTTTCTTATTACTAGAAATTTGAATACCGCGCTACGCGCGCGCCTTAATTTTAACCAATAATAAATCGTAGCCCATTTTTGCGAGTTTCGACCTATGACTAACTTCAAGACATTCATGTATTTTAATTTAGAAGATAAAACTTCCAAAAAATTATAAGAATATTGAAAATTTAATGCTTGATCCATATTTCGTTGATCAGAAAGTTAAATATTAATTTTAAGACTTTTTATTTTCAAAAATCTTATTAAATTTAATTTTTTTGGAAATTTAGTAGTTCCTATCTTCAATCTTCTGATAATTACAACAAATTAATGATAAAAAAGTTCTTATACAACTTGGCGAGCTTTTTGAGCGTAACCAGAAGATCTGGGTTCAATCCCCGGTCCGGACTATCTAAATTATTTTTTTAGTTACTGAAAATATTCCCACTAATTAAGTCTTCCTTTGCTCTATATTATTAATTACAAGACATGCTAATATTTATATTAAACCACGTAAAGCTGAAATTAATTACCGGTACTCTGGTGGATTAAATAACAAAAAGTGAGCTGATCGGTTTTTGATGGTGTAAATCCTAAATGATGATTTAATAGCAACGGATTATAGTTATTGTAGGATTTGTTATTGTTATTGTTGTTATTATTATAATTATTATCATGAAACGAAGTCACGGGGATAGGATACGCGGATAGTAAATTAGATGCTCAACTAAGGTGGTCCGCGGTATCTTTTGTAGCTATTCCGAGTCTCATCCTTTAACGGCAACTTTCTCTAGGAAAGTAATTGCGCTGTGCTGTCGTTCCAGCCGGTAGTGTGGTGGTGCGGTAGTGTAGGTCTCTTGTTCTTTTATTCTTAGAGTAACTCGTGGACCGTGTAACGGATCCTTAGGGAATCGTACCGAGGTGTAAAAGCAGGAAAAGGCAGTTTGTGTACTGGTTGTTGTAGTCGTTAACATACTACCTCGTTTATACCTCCAGGAGAATATTTTACTTTTTTATAATCACCATTAAAAATTCTTAAGCTTTTTATTTCACCACCGATCCGGATTTTATCCTCATTATTACATTTATTTGTGTTAAATGCGATCTGGAATTATTAATATTTATTTTTTATAAAGGGGAATAAGAGTCCCTGGGAATCTTTCAGACACGATTATTCGCGCTATTAAATGTGTGCTTGACATTGCATTTTTTTACTTCGCCTTGCTGTTGCTCGTTGCTGTAATTCTTGAGATTTTACACAGGTTATATTTATTAAAAAGAAAACTATTTGATTCAAGAAATCTATTCTTAAATCAGTAAATTAAAACTTCATTCAAGAATTTCACATATGTTTTGCTAAAAAATTTCTTTCTTTTGTAACGTTAGTTCAAAATCATCAAAAAAAATATCTTTATCTATATTATTAAGAGAATAAGAAAAATTTTGTGTCCAGGATAGTCATATGATATAATCGGTTTTTTCAGTGAAATTTAGTGTCATTGCAAAGGTCTTGATTTAAATTTGTGCTTTTTCAAAATTTCATATCATTCTCAACGATAGTCAATTTATTGTGATAAGTACTTAGACTGCATTCGAAAATACTCTATCTTTAGATACATAATTAAGAAATTACTTTGTATCTTGTGAACTATTGACATTTTTAAAGATATAAGCTCACTCCGACATTCCACTCATCGAGACCTTTCATTTGAGTACCCACATCAATTTTTCATATATTTTATATATTTATATATATCACAAATACCATATATATAAAATATATAAAAAATGTCATGTGGGTACTCAAATGAAAGGTCTCGATGAGTGCAACATCGAGATGAGCTTATATCTTTAAAAATACCAATAATTAAGAACTGACATTGCTATCTTGTTAACTAATGACATTTTTAAAAATATAAGCTCACCCCAACATTACTCTCATCGAGACCTTTCATTTGAGTACCCACATCAATTTTTCATATATTTCATATATTTATACATATGAATATATGAAAAATATATCAAAATGCATGTGGGTACTCAAATGAAAGCTCTTGATGAGTGTAACATTGAGATGAGCTTATATCTTTAAAAACGTTAATATTTAAGAAAGTACAGTGCAATTTAACAAAAGTCATCATTTAATACAGCAAAATTTTATTTATTTCAAGCTCACAAGTCACGGCAGTCACATAGTGACTGCTAAGTTGCTAGTAGGCTTGTAAACAAACTTTGAAATAAAAATTTCACTTATTTGCTATCTTTAGTAATCAAAAAAATTATTATTTGAACCCAGAAGTTAGAATTTAAAATAAAAATTCTCTTGGATCAAAAATTAACTATCTTCACGAAAAAAAAACTCTTAAATTAAAAAGATTATATTGAAAAATCTTATAACGCAAATAACCTGAGTAAATTTTACTCAATTCAAAAATTAATCTAAGTCGATAAAAAAAAATAATTTTCTAAATCAAGAGTTTTTTCCTTAAATTTTTTCCCGAATATTTCTCCATAAATTGACTACTGTCGAGTATTGAGTAGCCTGAGGTCGATAAAATAAATCCAATTATTTACCAAATAGTGCAGTAGAGAATGCTAGACCCAGTCGGCTCTCGTTTAACGCCAATCACTCGTACACTCGGATACCCAAGTACTCTAATATCTAAGTGACCGGTGTAGAGAAACAACTGCCCGGGAATAGACTCAAGCCAGGTTCTCTCGGCATCTGAGGACCAACTGCTCGATAATGTCTCGTTGCTGGAGGCTCTGCTGCATTCACGTGACGGCCTATAATCCAGCGCCAATCTTCGCGCCCAAGAATACGCGACTATGCTCCGCGTACCTGGTGGCTCGCTAGCCGCAGCTGAAACAAAAAAATCAACACAACATTTCAGCATAAAAATCCTCCTACTAAATTTACGATTCTGTTTTGTTCATCGTATCATTGTATCAGATGCATTGTAAGCGAGGAGTCGGGCGGGCTGAGCAATATTTCAGAAATTCGAGTGTGACAGGTGAGGATGGGACGGGCGGTGCACCATGAAAGCAGTATTATTGCATATTGTATCGAGAAAGCAATCTGCCAAGTATATTGAGCAGGTGATTGTCCAGTAATCGTAAATTATAGCTGACTAACGAAGTTGCTAACCCCGACTTGAGTCGTCCAAGCAGACTGCAGACACTACTGAGAGAGAAAGCGACGGTAGTGCCGGTACGGACGTGTGCAGCCCAAGATTTATGTGCTGGTAAAAAAAACCCACCATCTCCCTGATTATTTACAGCGTTTTTACACCACGCCGAGGGGATTACTCCTCCTTGTATTCGTCTTTATTCATACACCAGGCCAACGATGAATTTACTGTCCTGCTCTCATTATACTCTAGGCCAAGTATCTAGTCTTAGCCGCTGTTTATTTATAGTCTCTATTATCATACTTGCTCTTTTACATCGCCAAAAAGGTACAAATGTCTCTTGGAAGATAATACATAAAAAAATTTTCAATGATTGCACGAAGAGCATTTTGATATTCAAAACTGATTTATCGTGTTTTTGTGTGATTGGAATAAAATTTAAAATTCCACGTATTTATGATGTTAGAAATGTGACAAGGACTTTGTAACCTTGGTTAAATCTGTTCTGATTCAATCAGTATTCATCAATCACACAATTCGACCTTAAAGCTTTTAAAAGTCTAACTTGCCTCGTAAAAGTTGGGAATTTAAACTAATTTTTGTTCAAAATATATTCAAAAATGTTTATTATTAAGAAAAAGTAGTATTGTTTCAAAAAATGAGTTTCTATAATGAAATTTAACGACATTGAAATAATCTTGACCTAATTTTGTACTTTTTCATGGTTTCAAATGTCTCTTATTTAAACATTTTAAATTTTTACTCAATTTTGATATCTAATATTACCATAAGTTAAAATTTCACTAATTTAATTCTAAAGAGCAAATTTTCTGCATCAAATTTTTGATACGTGATGTTATAATAACTAAAAGTATTAAAATTATATTACAATTGAAATTTTTTTTCCATACTATTTACATTATAATAAAAAACAGACAAATAATTATAATAGCAACAAATCGTTAAAATCTACTAAATATTTAATTCATTATCATTAAAAAAATTTTATCAAACTTTGCCACCGATAAAACTATGAAATCCCCAACTTGAGCACTAGAAATTAAACCCAAATAAAACTTTTCCACTTATCTACCCCCTCCAGCAATTAATAGCCTCCAAACTTTGAATTTCCGAAGTTAGCCTCTAAAATAAAAACTACACTTACAAAATTAAAGTCACCTGTAATAAAACTAATTAGACCATTACCCAGGCAACCAAGCATCACTACTTCCACCTTAAATTACCCAAAACGAATAAACCAATTATCCTAAAAATTACCTGGCGTAGGAGATAGATCCGCAGGTAAGTCCGCAATCTGCTGCGGCATATCCACCAGCGTAAGAACAAAAAAGGCAGTAACGAGGGCTGCGGCCAATCCGACTCTGCATAATCTTTTCATGGCCACGACTAACATAATATATCCCTCGTAACAGCTACTTAAATCAGTATCCACCAATATCCAGTATCCACCATCGCCGTTATTGTCCTCGATAGTTCGCGGTCGCGGATGCGAACCCACTTCCAGCAGTGGTACAGCGTTTTCTGTCTGCACAGGTACATACGCCCGTCATATACCACTATTGCCTGGTAACCAAACCGCCTTTCCCTTCTAAGATAGATCTCACTAGACAAAATCCCAACTAGTCACGATTATTTTCTTCCTCGTTCACTTCCTTATAAGTACACAAAAAAATCCACACATCGAATCCCATCCGTGTTGAGTACATCGACAGTTAACATAAAAAAACTAAAAGTAAAACATAAACACGCTGTCGAAAGATAGACACTTATGCCCACGCAACTCTTCAACTCAACTCAACTCAACTATTTATCTATATATCCTCAATACTCGTTGATCACCGCGATGGGAGTGTCTATCCATGCAAATATCAACCACCAACGCGTTAGAATAATCGCTCAAACATCCACCAATTCTAGTTCCATCCAGCTCACTCAACTATTTTCTAGCTAGCGTTCACTCTTGATCCTCCTACACAATGCTAACTTACCAACGGTACCACCGAATAACCGGTCCATTTATGGTCACTATGGTGATCGCTCACTAATTTCATCAACCACAGCAACTTTGTTAATTAAAACGACACCAAAAGTGACACGGCCCAAATGTAGCTTCTTGCTAATTGATGATTATCACCATCGAGCGTGTTATCAACGAGATGAAGCACTTTTAGGCAGATGAGAAGCACGTGGTGAATTGAGTGGGTTCGCGAATAGATGTAATCCTGCTTGCGCGAGAGACGAGAGCGTACTGCGCGATAGTATACTACACTCTAGTACACAACACTACACTGCCCGGTTAACACGCTTCCCAGTATATAGTAGAGCCTCTTGTACATTACATTAGCGGAGGCTTACTTGCTCAGATCCAGCTTGGACCCAATCCCCCTTCAGCTTCTTCTCCAATACTAACAGCCGAGTTGAGAGTTATTCTCCACACTACTTCCCAGTCTTGGTCTACTATTATACCTACAACTACAACTAAGACTACGACTACCAGTAGAGAATACCAGGCAATGCAATTCCGTTTTGCAGCAACTTCCATCACCCGTCCTTAATCCTTCATCATCCTAATCATCGTCACAGTCATCGTCATCTTCATCGTAATCACTATCGTCATTATTTATTATCATTATCAATGCATTTCATTTCTGGATGCTAATCATTCGATAATTAATTTCGATATTTCCCCACCTGTCGAATCGCTGGCAAGGTGACTCAGCATGCATGAGTGGGACCTTTTTGTCTCGAGGCCAATCAATTACACCTTTTATAATTAAATACCTAATAATAATAGCTTTATTAATAAATAATAAACAGATGGAGCGAATCGATGACGGTACGCCGTTTAAGGGGTTATTATGCAGGTAGCGTGATCGTTTAAAAGTTAGTGCTCTTATTGTTCGTTCCGTTCAAGTTTGATTGGGAACATTAATCAAAGGAGATATTTTAACAAGGATAAGAATTTTACTGATAGTGAACCTTGGTAAAATTTTTTGTGACCTTATTGAGCAAAAATTTTTTTATTAATTGATTAAAATTAAAATTAATCTCAGATAAAGTCTCAAGAGAGTCAAAAAATAATTTTTAATTCAGAAGTTAATATTTTTAAATTTAAATCTCTGGTAGCGAGAGAATTTAGCAACCATGCGCCACCTGTTGGAAATTTTCAAAACTAAATTTAATTTAAAAATTATTTATGGACATATGTGGCTGTATTAAATCATATTGAGTCATATTAAGACATAAAAATTAAGAATGGTCAAAGGAGATAATTTTTTATAAGGATTTAATTGATAAATTGAATAAAAAATGATTTGAACTTGAAAAAAATTGTACGTAGTAGATAGAATCACAATATAAATATTTTCCCGTTTTACCTATGATATTATTGAATATTTTTCATGCAGCGTGGACAGCGGTAGGACCTCTTTAAGTCTCACCACGGGTAATTGAATAATGGAGTAATAAATTCATTTCTCGGTGATTACGCAAGATTTAACGCGGTGAAATAAGTAGGGTCTTCTATATTTTGAGTCAACGACCTGGAAATAAATATATAATGTATAATGTATGTAGGCTTGATATTAAGAAGATGGAAAGGAAAAACGAAGGAGGAAGAGGAGGAGGTTCTTACCCTCAAAGCCCTTTCTTATATTCTTGGACTGACTCAACTCGGGGATCCTGAGAAATATATCCTCCCGCGGATGTAATTGTCGACATACAACTGACACTTGTATATCCCCTTTATGCACCGGCATTCAGCTGTATAATCATTTTTTATCACTTTATTTATCATGATAACCCGTGACTGCTCCTGGAATAAAATGGAAATAAAATAATAAGCTATAAATTACTCGATAATTATTCATTACAAGGAAGGTTTCTAAGGAAGTGAATAACTTTAATCGATGCGCATTTATTTAGATTTGAATTAATATTTTATGTGTTATAATTTATATATTACCTTGCATGCAAGTACAGTACTGGACATTAAATTTAACACGGCTGTATCAGCGTATATAGAGAGGATGTGCAGCTCCTTGGGCCCAGATACTGCCAGATGCAGTCATAGATCGGAGTCAGTACAAGGAGAAAGAGTCTTCAAGCCCCGTCTTTACTATACACAGGATTTCATTTTACGACTGTGAAATAAAAGCTGAGTAACGACACCACTCCAACAATGTTACACCGATGCTGCACATTTTAGATTTATTTAAGCTCTAAATCTTAGCCAACTTTTACTGCACACTTTGCATAAATATTTAGCTTGTAGTTACACTGTATCTACTTATTATAATGTATGCTTCCCTCTGTAGCTACCAACAGGTATAGCAAGGCTAAAAAATTTAAAACATGCTCGAAAAGTACTAACACCAAGCTCTTTTATGCGTACATTTTTTGCGAACATTAAATTCTAAAGTTAATATAAGCTACTAGCTATTACTAGGCTCGTATGAGCTACACATATAATATATATTCCCCTTCTACTTATCTTTAATGTAATTAATTTTTCAAAGCCTTGAACAATTTAAATTCTTAACGACCGAAATAAAATCCCAGTTATAATAACCATTATCAAGAATTAAGCTTGTAATTTTTTGTTGTCTGTTGACGGATGCAATAATTATAATACAGATATTTTCAGTCTCGATCATGGTGGTATATTTAATTTTATGGTTTTAAATGAGTCGTTGCAATAATAATTATCTCTAATTGTAATATGGAAAAGGATTAATATTAATTATTAAAAAATTCTTAAGAAAAATTGATAATTTTTTCTGTTTTAAGGTCTTTAATACAACTCATAAAAAAGATATTAAAAAAATTTTTTGATTTGTTACAAATTTTTTTTTCTTAAAGTTTATCAAAAATAAAATAATATAAAAAAAAGTATTTTTTTAATATTTCAATTTTTCAATAAAAATTGACATTTTTTATAGAAAAATACTACAAATTAATTCAAAAAAAATTTTTATTTTAAAATTAACAACATAAAAACAATTTTTGCATTTCCTTTCAACCACTAAAGACTTGCGTGTCAATCCAAAAAAAGCCTCATAAATTTCCAACGAAATACCCACATTATTAAAGCTTACTTAGCATCATTGTCCGTCAATTTCCAGCCTCTCCCCAGTACAGCAAAAGATCCTTAATTAACATTTATTCAACCTCCCCACACTTAGTATAAACATTCAACTCTTCCACTCAAGTCTTTATTATCTGCAAACCCTGTTGAACTTTCAGGGATCATAAAAGTTAAAAATCTAAACAACGCTCTCTCTCACACACATCGAGGCCTTGAAATTACATAATTACGAATTCGTGTGGTGAGTGCCCTCAGATAAATATTCAAAGTTCACGAACAATACCAGTGGTACTGTTGAGTTTCATTAGTTTCTAAAGCATCTTTTTGCACATTCACAAACTCCGTGTGGTAGTTGCTGGTTCTGTTTAAATGCTAGAAGAATGGGTGTTGCGAATGCACGGTGCTTATATAAGAACGCCCTATAGCCATACCCATAGCCCTTGTATGCATTTACACACATAGAGGATGCATGGGAATTTAAATGGTTTTTTTGTTCGTTATCCCCAAGAAATGCGATATCTCCTTGTAGTATCTTTCCCGGTGGTGTACAAGAGTGGTGTACCTTATCCTCATTGCCTCGGAGTAAATAATAATATAATAATAATGACGATAAAAAAATAAAATTATTAAAAAACGTGACCGCTAGATTACTTAACTCTCCTTCAGTGAGTATTTACTTCTTACAACCTTACAATGTATATATAAATATATATGTACAGTACAGTTGTGGGACGTGTTCCGTTATTGAGCCATTTGGTGCAGATCGTTATCTATTTAGATATTTATTCTGTCGGGTGTTGGTAAAAGTAATCGGCAATATAATAGCAAGAGCAATGACTAATGAGGGTGCACAAAAAGGTGTAATTTCACGAGGGCTGGAGGTAATTTAGCTGGCCCGGAGCCAAGCCAGCACCCAGAAGATGCGCTGTTTGTGCCGGTAGGACGCGAGTATGGACGTGAACATGAAAATGGACATGGCTCTCCATAAGGAAGATTGAATGAGCAACAATAATTCCTCATCCTCATCCTCAGTTCCGTCTGCTGCGCTGACCTACACCACGGTCAGGGGGCATCGTCCTCCATCACGGTAAGTAAGAGAATGGACCGAGGGCATGTAGTGGATATAATATGTTGAGAGAAAGAGTTTGCGTGATTGTATCATCCTAAGAGTATGAGATCCCGCTGTATAATTTATGGAAGAAGCACTGTTTATATTTATATTTGTATTTATTTATTTATATTTATATATTTATATTGTGGTGTGTTAATAAAGCCGGTAATGGGGGATAAATATTCAAAATGTCCTTTTAATGGCTGGTCGAGAGGAAATTAAATGGTGATTTAAATTGCCGGCCCAGGATAACGGAGTAATTGTGGTAGGAGGCTTTCAAGGAGGTAAATCAACTTTTTATTGATTTTATTCTTGATTCCTACTCTTG